GAAAGAATCAAAGAAGCCTATTATTATTATTTGAAGTTGTCACTGTCTGAGTCTGGGCTGTGACAAGCAATGCTAACCACGTTTAAAAAACTTGTATCACTGGTCTGATTTATGGTAGGCAGCTTAGACAAAATGTGCTGGAGACCATTCCAGCTTTCTGATTGAAAACCTTTCTGTTTCTGCTTTTGTGTACATGATGGAGATAGTGCAGCCAGCATTAGTTTCTGCATACACTGGCGTGTCTCACCCTCAGGGCGTCCTCTTGCAGGCTTAGGTTGCTACAGTGAGGGCAGTTATCAAGCTACGTAAGGAGTGGCCTGATTATTGGTCACCCCAGTTATATAGAAAGGACTGTTCCATTGTACAGCACACCGCGCTGCAATTGGGTGTGAAGCGTGAGCCTTCTTGACTGAAGACTTTGGCTTATACATACCGTATTTGGATCTGTGGAGTCCTGACCCTTTTTGTTAGTTTTTGAGGCAAAGACTCACGTGTCCAGGCTGGCCTCAAACTTGCTGCACAGCTGAGGATGACCTTGACTACCTGTCTTCCTGCTTCTAGCACTGAGTGTGAGAATTACAAGCATGCACCTCCATGCCCAGTTTGCCTAGTGCGAGGGATCAAACTTAAGGCTCCATGCGTGCTAGACCAGCACTCAGTCTGTGAGCACAGCCCTCCCCCGAAGTCCTGACCTTTTAGAGGTGACAAGGAAAAGAGTAAAACATCTGCGAAAACATGGAGGCGTGATGTCTCCCTAGGAACTGCATGTAGTTCTTTCCTTTAACTACAACTTTGGGTTGAAGATTTTGGTGACACAAAGTTACCATTTAATTTCATTGCCAATGATATTTGAGTCCTATACCCTGAGAGAAAGGCTTCGTTTTGTACATTCTGAATGTGAAGGTGGCCCTTCTCACGTTTCAGAAACCAGAGATGGTGCAATCTTCTGTCAGTTTTCGCTGCTCGTTTCTTGGAAGACATTGAGCTTTTGACTTCGGCTTTCTGGTGTTAAAGGCAGGAGCAGCCCCTGTGAGGTGGTATCTTGATTTCTTTTTTGAACATAGCTTAGATCTGTTTGGTATCAGAATATCAGAATCAGAGTTTCTAATAGTTGTTAATGCCAGAAAATTGATAATTTCCACAGTCGTGGTCTGAGGCCTCCGGTGCAGGGAGCTCACTTGTGGAGGGGCTGTGAGGGTCAACCTCGAGCTGTAGGTGTAGGCGGGCTCTGAATGTCGCTAGCTTTACCTGGGACGAAATCTAAACAAGCAAATTAAAAATAGAAGGAAATATTATTTTCATGCTGTTTTTCTGTTTGTTTTGAAGACAAGGTTTCTTTGTGTAGCCCTGACCTTCTTAGAACTTACTCTGTAGAACAGATTAGCTTCAAACACAGAGGTTCACCTGCTTCTGCCTCTTTGAGTCTCTCTTTTTACGGCATGTACCACCACTGCCTAGCAAAACTTTCCTCCCTCCCTCCCTCCCTCCCTCCCTCCCTTCCTTCCTTCCTTTCTTTTTTTTTTTATAAAAAAGACTTATATGCATGAATGTTTTGACTGTGCCTACAGAAGTCAGAAGAAGGCAACAGATACCCTAAAACTGGTTGTGAGCCACCATGTGGATCCTGGGACTGGATGCTCTGCTTTTAACCACTGAGCCATCTCTCCAGCACCCTTTTTTTCCCATCCTATTTTAAATAATCTCATTTAATAACTTCAGGTAGATTTCAGAAATTCTGTTATTGTATAATATGACATAATGATCCAATTACAAAAAGTACTAAAATACATGTTGAATTCTTTTATACTCTATATGTGTGTACGTGTATGTGCGTATATGTGTGTATAAGTTGAACACGTTCATTCTTCCTTCCACTCATTCCCCCTTCTAAGGAACAAGTATATTTCATTGGAGATGAAAAATGGCTAAATATAAAGAATGATCAGTGGAGAAAGCCATCTGAAAAAATAGTAACTTAGCTGACTAATGAGCATCCTGATTAACATATTCTTCACATCTATCAGTACCAAGGCTCAGTATGCCTCTGTTCCTCTCCAAATTAATAGTGACAGGCACCAGGACCCGGTTAATATTTGAGTAGTCTGATAGGCCCAGGCAAGCATGCTGCAGAGAAGAATGTCAATCAGGGTCAGAGTCGCCTTCCTCTCCTGTCTGTTGAGCAGCAATTCTCTTCAGGCTCTTCTCAGCCTCAGCTCTCTGAGATTGCCTGTTCCCTCTCACTTCTCGGGCCTACTGAGTTCTGTTCTCTTTGTTTCTAAGATGCTCTGAGCCAAGTGTATTCACTGGACGTGTAGATTACTCACAGGCTCCTGGATGGTAGTGTCTCTACCATTGGACACACAGTCGGCACTGATGCAGTATTTGCTGAACAAATTCTCTTTTGTTAGCATGCAGCAAAATGACATGAAGTCATAGGGAGCTTTAGATGTGGAAGATAGGAAGTGCTTGCATTTTCTAGTGTGTTACAAGGCACAGAAAGTTGCCTGTGTTTCATCAATGTGGGTAAACGCATTGACTTGGTGACGGTGAGTGAATGGAACGGTCGTGTTGGCAGAGCACAGTGGAGCACAGCAAGAGTACAGTCCCGTGTGACCTGGCCATAGTTCTAGGACTTACTCTTCTTAGACCACCCTCCCTTAGTTTCATTAAGTAGACAAGAAGAGGTAATTTTACATGAATTTCAGATCAGTCAAGCTTTGAAACGCTGTTCATATTTTAATGATCTTTTCAGGGATTGTCTGTCACCATGAAGAGCTCCATCCTGTTAGCCCCCATCAAGCTTTTGGGCAGCCCTGTACTCCGTTTCAGTCTGAGGTCCTCTGGGTACTTTTTCTTTGTTTTTCCTGTAGGATTTGCCTTGGGCTGCAGAGAAATTTGAACCCAGTGTGGTATTAGTTGGTCCCATCCTTCCCATAGGTGGCCTCGTTCACCTCTCCACTGCTCCCGTTGCTCGCTTTGCCCCCACTCAGAACTCCTGGCCTCTCTCCTGCCACCTGTCACCTGCAGCTGGCCTACAAGAACGTTTAAAGCCCTTTGCCCCATTCTCTCTCTGTCAATGTGAAGTCTAAGGTCCTTTCACTATGGGTTCACCCACCCCTGACCCTACTGTCATGGCATGTGTCCATCTTGAGTACAGTAGTAGCAGTAAGTACCGCCCGTTGAAGGTGTACTATGTGCCTGTGCAGTCGCAGGCCTTTACTTTGACCGTCTCGGAGTCTGCACTGTTCCTACAGGGTGGCTGCTTTAATTTTACAGATGAGGAAGCATCCTCAGATTGCTTAAATAACCTGTCCCGATTGTCCAAGATCAAAGCTGGTGCAGTTTCCAGTGCAGCAAGATAAGTGCCGGCCGCTGCACGTCGTCAGTTCTTCCTCGCTGTCTTCCTGTCACCTGTCCTTTCAGAAGCAGTATTGCAGCGCCACGTGGCAAGCATGTCACCATCCTTACACTTGCCACTGCCCTGCTTTATTTGCTGTTATTTATGGGTTGTTTATATTATACAAACTTGAGCTCTCAGAAGAGTGTGCTTCCAGCCCTCATTCTAACATGTTGACTCTACAGGCATTTTTGTTCTTTCATATTGTCATTTTAATTACGAAGTTATTTTATCAGATTGGTTTATCATAATTATATAAAGTTTAATTTTTGTTGCTACTGCAAAGCATTTGGAATATTTTTATTTTGAGATAAATTATAATATTTATGTTCCTTTTGAAAATAGGTGGTAATGTTGGCTTTCAAAGAATTTTTTTTTTAATTTCCAAAGAACTCCCATGTCCTTGTCTCCGTTTCAATAATAACATTTTGTACATATTGTTTTAACTAATCTCCCTTTATTTCTTGAGAATATTAAATTTCAACCATCTTACCGTTAACTACTAAATACTTCAGCACCTACTTTTTAATGCATAGGGACCTTTCTAAGGCCATCCAATTCTCTGTAACTGCCATCTCAAATCCAAGTTCAAATTTACATGAAAATAATGGATAATTTCTTTCATTTGGTTTGTGTAAATTAAGGTCCAAGTGCAGGCCACACACTGCCTACAGTTGTTGTTATGTGGTTAATACATATCATTAAATAACACACACACAGTCTCCCTATGTACCAGGCCTTCATCTGTGAACCTCTTGTCTCAGCCTCTGGGGTGCTGAGATTACAGGTGTTTGCCAGCCCCATCTATAAACGTTTTAATACCTTCAGCGGGTTAGACAGAGAGTGGTCCTGTATCTCACCATCTTAATACCGACTGTGTCTTCAGGATGCTCCTTAACATCCCTGTAATTGTTTAATTGATAGTTAAAGATAATGGATTTAATATGAATATAGCTCAGTTTTTAAGGAAGAATAATAGGTAAATGTATTTTCAAGATGGGGCCATATTTAACACTCTTCTGAGCACATTTCATCAACCCATCTGCTCTTCTTTTTCCCCTTAAAATTGGCGACCTGGATACATGCACCCCCAGAAAAAAGCAGTAATGTTGAGGCTCCCGCGACAGTAGGAAGAGGAATGTGAGTTGGAGATGCTCATGGCAGGAGACTCAAAGAGGACAGCTGTGAGGGCTTTAGTCAACAAGGCGGCTTCTCACTGGGGGAGCCAAATTCAAACATCTGAGTCTTTCTCTTTCATTTTATGGGGCAGGCTGTGAACCAGAGAAGCTGAATTTAACTTTGATCTATAAATACACTGTTTTCTCACTCTGTAACTTCTAATTGTCCATTTGCTGATTTTATTACCATGTGTGGTGTAGACAACATCGCAAGGTTACTCACAGAAGCTGAGAATCTGAAAATGGAGGTGATTTAATACTAAACTTCCTAATGTCGTGGCTTACAGTTACCCTTTGTTCCTAAATATTTGCCCATTTCTAGGCTGGATTGCTAACCATTCTTCTTTATTTCTCTTAAGCAATGGCTTTGCTTTGTTTTCATTATTACCGAGAATGAAGTCTCTCTCTCTCCCTTTTGTCTCCAGATGGCTCTTTCAACCTAAGAAGCAATTCTTTTTCTTTTAAAATGTCTGCAAGTATTTGAATTAAAACTGGTAAGTTACATCGTTTTTCAGTAATTCTTCATTGACCTTATGTTACTTCTCATTGCTTTGATAATCCTCTAATATTTTCACCATGCGTGTAAGGAGTAGTGTGAATTCAGAAGGCGTGGATGTGTGCGGTGGTGGCGTGTACTACTGCGGCTGGGAGGAGAGAGCAGCATCGTGGGATTTGTTTGTGTGTGTTTCTTCCCTGGAACAGTAAAGAGAAACGTGAAATTGAATGGAGGCTGTTGCTGTAGGCTTGAGTTGATACAGAAAACTGCAGTGGTTTTAAAGATCCCTTTAAATGTTCACATTGGACATTTCTTAGGGGTAGAAAACCCCAAGTTAAAAATACACTGTTTTATTAGACTGCCAAACCCTTTTGTATTTTTCTTTTGTTCTTGGTGGAACTAAAACCTCTGAGTTGTTTTTTGTTTGTTTGTTTCTATATCAAATGGACACACAGTTTCTAGTCTGTTTCAGTTTTTCCTCAACCTCTCCTTTTTGTTAAATTTAATAATTTTTATAGGAATAATAAACATGTAATGTAGGAATGATTAAGCTAGTTTTTATTTGTATTTGTAACCTTTCTATCATGAACTATAGTCTCATTTTATAATGAATATATATATATATATATATATTTTTTTTTTTTTTTTTTTTTTGAGACAGGGTTTCTCTGTAACAGCCCTGGCTATCTTGGAACTCACTTTGTAGACCAGGCTGACCTCAAACTCACAGAGATCTGCCTGCCTCTGCCTCCTAAGTGCTGGGATTAAAGGTGTGCGCCACCACTGCCCAGCATTTGTCGTGAATCTTAGTTCAACACTGTCACAATATTATTTCTGGATAAGTGCTAAAAAGCCATCATGTTAAGGCCTTAGAATATCATGTTAAAGTATGAATCTTTGCTGTCCGTTCTAAAATGCACATAAGAGGCCCTGCAGCATGTGGCTTTTCCCTGAGTTCTTCCTCTCATATACATACACACACGGTAGTAAGTACAGAAATTCATCAGATATAAGTGAATAAATTTATCCATTCTTTCAATAATCAACCTTGAACTCTGATTCTCAGACCCAGTATATGGAAACTATACATACGATGACTCCTAAAAGTGTGAATCTCTCTGACTCGAGACCTAGCATGGGCAGAGTTCTTAGAAGAAGAAAGACTCTCTTCTGTTGTTCTATTTGCTTATTAAGATTCTGTCTTTTTCAATACCTTTCTTATGTAGACTTCTCTGCTTTGTTTGCCATAAGATCTCTGTAGCCTATGCTGGCTTGGACTTCACAGTTATCCAGGCTAACCTTGAACTCGTGGTCCTCCTTCCTCTTCTTCCCAAATGGAATTGCCTGTGTAATTATACCTGCTTCATGGACTGGGTTCTTAATTTCTGTGAAGTTATACCTCTGGGAAGAACTTTTTTTTTTAGTTTTTTTTTTTTTTTTTTTTTTTTCGAGACAGGGTTTCTCTGTAGCTTTGGAGCCTGTCCTGGCACTAGCTCTTGTAGACCAGAGATCCACCTGCCTCTGCCTCCTGAGTGCTGGGATTAAAGGCGTGGGCCACCACCGCCCGGCCTCTGAGAAGAACTTTTATGTCGTCCACGGACACAATTTTTTCTTTGTTTTATCCTATTAAAGTGCTATCGAATAGTCTTTTTCTGTGAATGTATGTCCTTTGTAAGCTGTGGGCTCCCAAGCAGTGCTGAGTCCATATTCATTTCATTCTATTGAGTAAAAGCTCTGATTTTAGGCAAATAAGAGAGTAAATTTCTCTCTGTTTGGATGAAGTTAAAATATAAAGCCTTGACTATCAGACATGAATCATAATCCTGCTTAAACTAATATATTATTTGAGTATATCAAACACTACACGATTAATCTTAATCATTTCCATTCTTTTAAAATATCAGCAGTTAAAAATTACATATCTTATTATTAAAAATGGTTTGAGCTGAGATGTAATCTCCCAAATGAAGGAATAAAAATAAGAACAGGATAAGACAGAGAACCATTTTTCTTCCTAAAAACTTGAAATAAATTGAAATCAAAAAAGTTACACATTGTTAAATAAATCAGAGGACTTTATGACAGCACTAATATTTTATAACAGGTTTTTGACTTGATTTATGTATTTAAAATAACTAGCAAAGTATTCTTTCAATGCTAAAACATAAATTACAAATGGGAAGCCTTGATTTATGTTAATGGTGGATAGTGTATGGGATGAGGCAAGTGTTTGCTAAGTTTTGCAGTATTCCCTAGATGGGGCGATGGAGGCACAGAGCACAGAAGATGCTGCCTTAGGCTCCATTTGTTGACTCGTAAGTGCAGGCAGGCTGTCCTAGGAAGTGAGGGAATCTTGATAGGAACTTTCACTTCTGTTTCAGATATCCAGATGTCTGTGAAAGCTGCTGGAGAGGTCTCAGCTACTCCATGTCACCATGGCAGACCAGATGTATGCAGAAGTCTGTAAGGAGAGTGTAGAACCTGGAGCAGATTGTCTTCTTAGGTAAATCTCAGGTCTCTGATATTTCCTTATAATGTGTAGGTCACATGGCCATCCAGGCAGCACCGCTTCGCATTTTCATACTTCAGCCTCAGGACCAGCCTTTTGTTCGGTTTGTGTCGTGCAGCCATCTTCCTGATCGCTTTGCATGACTGTCCTGTCCTCCAGCCCTCTCCTTAAATATGCCTGCCCCAGAGAGTTCTTTCTGGGTCTCCGTACCTACAGAGATCTCCTTACCCATTGCCCTGTTTACTCCCTGACACTTTAAAAAGAATTCTTTCTTAGTGCTCTCACATCTCATGGTTTGCCTCCACCACAAATTTCCTGTGGTGGGGGGAAAAAGTCCGTATTATTAATTCCCACAGCAGTACCCTAATAGCAGACAGTAAAGATGCTAGAAAATTATTAGAGAAATGAACAAAGATCTGTGAGATTGCATTTGGAGAGAGTACCTGAATTTAGAAAGGGTAAGAAGCATTGCTTTAAATGAACACAGCCATACGCCCAAGAGATGTCTTTACAGATGCCTGACTGCTTTCTCATTCAAACTAGTTCCTTGTGATGCTTCAGTAGGCAGACTGTTGGTCTCACAGCTGTAGCCCAGTCCTTCCCACAGAGGCTCTCAGTCTCCCTTTGTCTGCAGGTGCAAACAGACTGACACCCTATGGACACATGCCACTGAAGTGAACCAGGACTGCTCTGTGCCTCCAGAGCCCTGCCTGTGCCTACCCCTCTTCCTTTTCCACCGAGGAAGTCACGTTAGCAGGTAAGCTAGCGAGGGTGAGCATAAGGCCTTACAGGGACCACCTTAGGTAACACAAACTTATCAGTAACAGACAAGCAATAAACCAGTTATAAATATTAGAGACTTTTTATAGCAGTGAATGACTTGCTACAGTTAATACAGAGTGTCTTTGCTGACACAATGACGTGATGTTTTTTGAGTGTATGTTTTAGCAATTGAACTTGAACTTCTGGGAAGCATTTTATTGTTTATGGAACTTTTAGGGAAGAAAGCAATGCATGTAGTTGAGTCTTAGTGGGAGAAGAATGCTTGGGAATAATTGCCGTAGAGCTCTTACTGATCCTTGATAGGTGTTGTTTCGGAATGATAAGCATAAAGATTATTGATATTTAAAGTGAGCCAAGTCAATGCAAAGGTCACACGTCTTTCACTTATAATGCAGTTTCATTCAGTTAAAAGTAATTGATTTGTTAATATTTTTCTACCGTGTATTTAAAATACCCTTGGTAATAAATTCCAAGTTCTTGAAAGAAAGAAGAAAACAACAGTACAATGACTTTTGTGTCTCTTTTAGTCTTATCTGGAGGACACTGGCATAGGCCAGGAAGTTCTGGGAACAAGATATATTCAGGAAATAAAGCTACATGTATGTGCTCCGTTGTTTCAGTTCATACTGTGTCCATATGCCATGTAGATACAGACACATATTTACTTCTAGGCTACACTGCTAGTGCGCCATGAGTCCCATATATTTTTCACTTGCTAATGTTAATATCTTACGTAGCCACATGCATTTACTAAACCAAGGTATTTGCACTGGTACGTCATTGAGTAAGCTAACCTTCTTTTTCAGACTTAATGAACTTTTCAAATAATGGGTATCTTTTTTCTGTTTTGGGATCTAATAATATTATATTTACCATTTATGTATTTACTAAGGGATAAAATATAAGGGAAGAGGCAAAGACTTTTATGAGTACTCAGGCATCAGTACTGTTAGCATTCAGCATATTTTCTTCCTAGCCCATGTACATAACAAACACCACACACATTTTTAGGGCAGGCTCAACACCTATTTTTAAATATTTTTGTAACTCTTGTTTTAAACATTTGTGTGACAAGATCCAGCGATGGGCCCTAGGCTGGCCTAGAACTTGGGCCACCTTGTCTCAGTCTCACAGATGCTGGAATTCCAAGAGTGTGCTATTACACCTCGCCACCCACCTATTTTTATATTATCTTCTCTCAACATGTGGATTCCAGCAGTGGACTTAGGTCAACAAATATATTGGCCAATATGCTTACCCATTGAGCTGTCTCACCAATTGTTTTTAATTACTTAGCAAATCACAAATATTACCCTCTGTAGTATCAGTTTGAGATACTTTTATATGTCCAGTTTTTAAAATACAGGTATTCATTTGGTTGACATTATTTGTTCATTGTTCCTTTCCATTTTTTTTCTTGCAAGTGATACTATGATGATTTTTAGTATACATGAGTTTTGGGTACTATCCATATTTTTACAGATCAGAAAGAAGAATGTATCACGTTATCATGTGAGAATCTAGGTACTCCCCCAATTTGTTTTTTATTTTCAAATCAAGACTAATATATTTAAACTAAACCGAAAGCTGTTAAGTTTGAAAGTGAACCTGTTTCCCTGTAGGAAGGAAAGCCCTGGGAGGTCCTTGGGCTGAGGCAGCACTGTAGGAATTGATCGCACACACCTAAGTACAGGCAGCTGCAAGCCTAGGCTTTGCAAAGGCATTCCAAGTAAGCGGTCACATCATCACAGCCCGTATGCTTGGCTGTGTGACTAGGAGTGGCGTTGCATGGGCATTTCCTATGGTTGGCCAATTTTACTTCTAAGGTTTTGCAGTTTCTTGGTCCCCAAATAGTAAGTTTTATTTTTAGGTAACAGACATCAACACCAGAGAAAAGGACTCTGATTGTCCCTGACATTCAGAACAGATAGTTCATCTGTTCCTAAGGCATGAGTCCTATAATGTCTAGGCCTCTTGAGCTGTAGTTAGAGGATATTCTTGTCACACATGAAGTAGAATCAAAGCAAGGAATCCAGATGTATGTCTTCCCGCCCCCAGAACCAGAGACCGTAGCGACTGGACATTGCGAACTCACTCTTGGAAAAAAGACATTGCTCTGCCTGGACTAGAATGTGGAGAGTGGGGGCCAGGATGGCTTCTGAAGTTAAGTAGGCTTTATATACCCTGAATCCAGTACAATTAGAAACTCTTTGATATTAGGTAACTGAGGCAGCTCCTTAGTCTGAGCTTTCTTGACACAGCTGGATGTTGATTTGAATGTCTTGTGAAAATATCTGGTGTTACACGGTATCTGACATACAGTGTGCACTTAGATGGAAGGTTACTCAATGAAGGATGGGTGAATGTACTCCCTAGCTGTTTGAACATCTTATGTTTTAAATAGTTGTATGGCTATTTGTAATAGAAAATACAATAAATATCAAAGAAATGACTTAAATATCCATTTAACTCTCTTTCTCTCAGGGTTGCAGACACATAAACAGACTCTGGTTAGAATTTATTGGATGAACAGTCAGATCCTGAGATTTAGGAGTTGAAGCAGCGAGCAGTTTGATGATACGAGCTGTGGATCCCTGGGGCCTCGGAAGCAGATGGTTATGGATCTTTCGCCTGGACTGTTGATGCCTTTATTCCTCATCTTTAGTGACCTGTCATCAGTTGCCAGGAAGACAGGGCTGTGTCCCACAACATGGACACAGATATCACTTCTCTGATTCAGGAGCACTTCACAGGGCAAAGGGAATATTGGGCGACTAATGTATTTTAAAGTATTTTGTATATTTTACTTGAATTATTTATGTAGTATAGAGAAACTAATTTTAGATATGACAGATGTTATTAATTTAGATAACAGTTTACCATAAAAGAGAAACATAATATTTATGTGCTGGGCTGGAGGCGGAGCTCAGTGGTGGTGTGGTTGACTAGCATACATGAGGTCCTGGGTTCAATTCCACGAAAACCTCCTCCCCTTTAAAAAGAAAGCAGAAAATAGTTACAGGATGAAATTTCAAAACTTCACTAAAAGTTTGTAAAGGTTCTGTTGAGGCTTGATTGACATATTCTGAAGTCCACATATTTGAAGTCGTGGCTTGGTATATTTTGGCACTCACGACGCACGTCCTGACAACTGCCACCATAATGAAGACAACAAGGTCTTCCACCCCTGGATGTCTCCTTGTGCTTTTGTGTTCCTCCCCTCAGCCCCTGCTGTCCCTAAGCACCGATTACTTATGCCCCTTAGGCTGACTCGCATTTTCTAGAGTTCCCTATAAATGGGATCATGCAATGCATATTCTGTGATATGGCTCTTCTTCTCAGCACAACTGCTTTGAGACTCATCCGTGTTGCACTATATAACAGGGTTCTGTTTCTTTATATGAGCGACTCATACCGAGTGGATCATACAGCTTGTTTATTTATTAGTTGGCAAAGATTTTACTTATTTCTATTTGGGGATGTCATCAATAAAAATAAGAATTTATGTACAGGTGATTTTTTTTGGTGTGTTTTCATTTCTTTAGGGTTAACTAGAAGTAGAATTACCAATTGCCAAGCAGCAAATGTATTTAGCTGCCAGAGAAATGAAAAATTAAAACCATAATTGTTGAAGGAGTGGCAGGGCTGCGTTCCGGCAACCCTGGCTCCCACATGGCTAGCTTTACCCGAAATAATTACACGGAAACTGTATTCTTTTAAACACTGCCTGGCCCGTTATCTGTAGCCTCTTATTGGCTAGCTCTTACATAGTAATCTAACCCATTTCTAATATTCTGTGTAGCCCACGAGGTGGCTTACCAGGGAAAATCTTAACCTGCGTCTGTCTGGAGTGGGAGAACCATGGCGACTCACTGACTCAGCTTCTTTCTCCCAGCATTCTGTTTACTCCACCCACCTAAGGATTGGCCTATCAAGGGGCCTAGGCAGTTTCTTTATTAATAAGAAATCACTCCCACATCACATAATGACATACTTATTCAAATGGCAGGATGAAAAGATAACTAATAATTTCATATTATTATGCTCAGTTTAATAGATGGAAAAACTGAGGCTCACATTTGAAGAAGGCGCTAAAGTCTCAGGTTGGAAAGATGGGAATTTACGCATCACTTAGTTATCCCCTTCTGGCAGGACAGGCTGCCGTAGTCACAGTGACCATTATGGAAGTTCTAGTGCAAAGTTTTGCTATCTACATAATCTAACATACAAAATATGTGAATTTTTAACATCCACCTTTGTCTGGATGCCTCTTGGGAAAGTATTTAAAGTATGGAAAATATATGAAAACTTTACTGGTCCAACAAAGATAGAGTTTTGTTTAAGTATGACCCCTAAAATCCAAGTTGCTGTTTTTTTAAGGGTCTTATATAGCCCAGACTTGCCTCTACACTGCTTTGTAGCTGAAGCTGGCCTTGAACTCCATTCCTTCTGGCTCCGTCTCCTGAGTGCTGAGATCACAAGCATGCACCATGTCACCCAGTTTTATGTAGTTCTGGAGGTCAGACTCAGGACTTTGTGAATGCCAGGCAAACACTTTACCATCTGAGCGACATCCTCAACCCCTGGCTGTGTTTTTATCTGACAGATCTCAGCCTGAGCCACTCTCTTATTTCTTAGCCATTTGATCTTAGGCAAATTATTATTATTATTATCTTTTTATTAAGCAAACACTTTAAGTTTCAGTTTCCTCTTTTGTAAATTAGAGATAGTAATCCTCATGCCAATGTTTCCTTTCTTTCTTTTTTTTTAACTTGTTAAATGTATTGTCAACAAAAATGTCAGAAATATGGAACATTGTTTACAATGAAATATCAGATTTTATCATTTATCCAAATGAGCTTAGTATTCTATACTGTTTTATATAAATGATATTAAAAGGACTTCATATCAATTGCTATTCTTTTTTTCTTTTTATTTTTTATTGAAAAAAAAATTTCCACCTCCTCCCAGCCTCCCATTTCCCTCCTCTTCCTCCCACTTCTCTCCCCCTCCCCCCACTCCTCTCCCCCTCCCTCTCCAGTCCGAAGATTTGCCAGTGTTTTAAGGGCTAGAGCATCTGATACGTACAGTTTACTGCTATGTCCTATAGTTCTTAGTCTCCCATCACTGACGTTACCATGCCAATAATAATATATGACCATCATAAGAGTAGGTGTTTAAAGCTTTGTACTCACTACCAAGATCAAAACACCAATTTATCATTAGCGAAGATGAATATGAAGGACTTGTTCTCGCCTTTAGGGAATGGTAATTCCAGGAAAGACTATGACAGTTTACTCCATAAGAGTGCTAAGAAGCAAAGGAAAGTTGTCCTTTAAGCGTAAGCATTGAGACCTTCTTATTAAGAACTAGCTATAGTTGCTGTTGAGCCACATCCTCAAGGAGCAGATACACAGGGGCCACAGAATACAGAGAAATCAAAGTCAACATGATAAAGAGCAGGATGGAGCACTGTCCCTGTGCTCGGATGATTGGAACCTGCTTGCAGTTTCCTGGACTGATTTTTTTTGGACCAGGCACTCGACCTTGGTAGATGTGCTTTGTCCCCTACTTGCTGTCACACCACCGGCTCTTTCCCAGGCTTCTGGGATTATAACTAGGGCTACTGTGGTGCACTGTCTCTGTCCTGTTAGTCTCCTTGGGAATCTGAACAATACTTTTGGTCAGTAGTTGCGGACTTCAGCGAGGCCTCCTCCAAGCACTTGGATGTAAGACTGTGAAGAGAGACAAATATGCTGCTTTACTGACTGCCTTCAGCAATGTTCACTCAAGTAGTCCAGTATAAGTTGGTCCCACAGAGAGCCTGCAATTCTGCTGCTTGGCACCATTATTGCTATGCAAACTTTCCAGAAGACAGGCACTGAGAGCAATTGTTTCTTCATGCTGGAAAAACTGTACCCGGCTTTCAAAACAACCAGGTCAGGTGAATGTTATGTCTCAGCTATGAATGTATGAGTCTTTCTTACAGTACAATCTATATGGCTTTCAACTGTTCTGGTTTAAGCATGACATTCCCAGCTTGACCCTTGGATGACAAAGGAGTAGAGATTATGATGTACAGCACACATCTTGTACCTTGAACTCGAGTGTTGACACACGTCATTTTTGTGTAGCATTGTTTGACGCTATCATTTTGCAGCACAAATATAATTATTTATTTTTTACAATTTCACTTCAAAGTCAGTGCATAACACTTTGGAGTAGAGATACCAAGCAACTCCAAGGTTTGCAAAGTGTGTCCACAGCATACCCAGCGATTTTTTAAAAATGTGTGGTGGCGTACAACTTTAATCCCAGCACTCGGGAAGCAGAAGCAGGTAGACTTTGTGAGTTCAAGGCCAGCCTTGTCTACAAAGTCAGTTCCAGGACAGCCAGCACTGTCATAAGAGAAAACCTGTTTCAAAAAAAATTAAAATGTGTTAAAATATGTCTAATAATATATATAACATTTTCACATTTCAACTGGGCTCTCAACATATTAAGTACATTTATGTTTTTATATAATCAACTTGCTTCATATAATTAAAAACTTAAAAAATCTGCACCCATTTAGAATAATCGTCCACAGCTTCCAGAAATCACCATTCCACCTTCTCAATATATTTGACTTCTCTGCTCTTTTTTGTTTTTTTAAATCTCATTCAGTGGATTCATTCAGATCTGCTTTCTTATTTTTAGCTTCAATTCACACTGATAAATCAGAAATGGTATGGGTACCAGAAAAAGGAACCTATATGCATTGTTGTGGGAAGGTAAAATAGACAGATCATGGAGAAGGTAACTAACACTAAAGGCTTTTTGAAATACGTTTCAAAATCTACTATTGCAGAAGTAAGAGGAATTTAAGTGGAATTACCATATAATGGGGAAGACAATGTCCTGTTGAGAAATCATATACAACCAAATACAACACCTAGCACCAGGAATAGCTTAAATCTCCATTGAGTCTTTGGCTGAAGATATTCCACAGATTCCTCTCCAAACATTGTTGGCTTTGCCAATGCTGTTAGTTACTCTCTGTAACCTGATGGTAAGACCCAGTTACTAAATCACCACATATTTATGTCATCCAACATGGCGACATTGAGCTGGCTAACTACTGACTAGCATTCATAGTGCTGAAAAGTACTATACATGTTACCAGAGAAGAAAAGTAGTCATGAACCTAGCCATAAGCCCTGTGGGCTACAGTAGTGACCTGCCTGCAAGGTATAGCTACTGGTGCAAGATTGCATAAAAGTTATAGGAATAACCCATGGTCTGAATGAGAATTGCCCTCATAGGCTCATATATTGAAAGGCTTGGTCCTTGGTTAATGGAACTGTTTGGGAAGGATTAGAAGGTGTGGTCTTGTTGAAGGAGGTTTATACCTGGGAGTGGACGTTGAAGTTTCAAAACCTACAGCAGGTCCAGTCTTTTTCTCTTTTTATCTGCAACTTGTGGATCAGATGTGAACTCTCAGCTTTGCTCCAGTGCCAACCTGCTGCTTGTTCTTCACCATGATGTAAGTAATCCCCCAATTAAATGCTTTCTTTTATAAGTTGACTCGGTCATGGTGTCTCTTCAAAGTATTAGAACAGTAACTAAGAGTAATTAGCAGTAACTGGTTGTTTTTTAAAACTTGGCTTTAAGGCTCACTCCATGAGATGGAACCCATATTTGACACTGTAAATGAGGCCAGAAACCTGAGGCTAGACAGGTCATGGACCCCAGGGAGAAACCTACTATTATTCTGCTTAGGGAACATAGAAACAAAATGGACCTTGATAACATATTACTGCATCCATAGACCCGTGCCTTCCTCAGCTCTTACCAGAGAAGCTTCTTCTCTCATTAGATAGGGTTTAACACAGAAACCTACAACCGGTCAATGTATAGAGGGTGACTCTGCCCTTACGGGACATCTATTACATCCTTCCCCTCAGGACTCAGGGATTTATGCAGAAGTGGAGGTGGACAATTTGAAAGAGCCAGGGATAGTGATGGCTCCAAGGAAAGAGCATCTTCCAGACACAACAGGGCTGACACAGATATAAACTCACACAGTGTGACAGCAAGTACAAGGCCAAGCCAGACACAAACCCCATCACAAAGAACAGGAAGTGGATATAAAGTTTCACAAGAAGCTATTTGCAATTGGTAGCTGATGGGCGAGGGGAAAAAAAAAAGCGGTTTTCTTTGATGGAATGATACTGGACATGTCAACTACACTCCATGGCAGGGTGAGTTCTCAGGAATAGTTGACCAACACAAAATCACAAAATACAGACTGTTGTTGTTGCTGCTGCTGCTGTTGTTGTTGTTGTTGTTGTTGGTGGTGGTGGTGTGTGTGTGTGTGTGTGTGTGTGTGTGTGTGATTTTTGGTTTTTCTTTTTAGGGGAGAGAAATAACACGAAGCTGGAGGATAGGCAGGTAGAAAGGACTGGGAAGTGTTGAGGGTGGGAAGAGACTATGGTCAAAATATATAGCTGAAAAAAGCTAGAACAGGCATGATG